GGCACTGAACAGAATAAACTGTTCTGAAGTTAATTCTATGTTGACGCGAACTATTTGTAACTTTTTGCACCACTTCACACGTGAAGGATCCAGATAAGTTCATGTACTCAGTTGAGTTTAGAGAAAGCGGGGTCATTCAGTACAATAAATCCGTCAGCTATGTTGCTAAGAATACAGTGGAACGTTGCACTTTTTTTATTCAGGATTGTTCACCCTTTTCTACAACTTACTATTGCAGCTGGTCAAATGTCTTCGTGGGTTAGTGTTATCATGAAGCGCACCATTGTTTGGTCAATTTTCATACACAACAATTTAAACAATGTAAGAATTTAGAAAAACAACCTTAGGCTCCCTATGGCTCAATTGTGAAATTCCGAAGTATCTTAGTAAGCTTTCAGGAGACCCCCTTGAAACATGAACAGAAACACCTACTTCCATCCGATAGCTTAATCGTACAGAACGTATATCTTAAACACAGAATTTCCGAATGAGAAAGTAAACGGGACTAACTGTATGTTTCAATATCTCTATATTTATCTTTAGAGAGTTTAAAGGAACTTTAGAAATAACCGTTTCTTTAGCTACACTGTTTTTATTCGAAGTATCTTTGAAGGGCTTTTTTGGTGTATCGCTTGCGATGGTCGACGCTGCTGATCGTTTTGATTACTTGTTCAAGTTTCTCATAATCGGAAATGCCAGTAGTGGGAAAACGTGTATACTGCGCCGTTACACTGAGAGAAAATTTTTTCCAAATACACAGCACACTATTGGGGCTGAATTTGGCAGTAAAATCGTGAATGTTGACGGCACATACGTGAAGATTCAAATATGGGATACAGCAGGTTAGGCGCTTTTTATTAGCTGAAGTGTTCGCCTCCTGTCTTTTATAATTTCAGACATAGTGTTCTCTAACTTTTTTGGTTCCGTCTACATTGGTAGTAAGCACTATCGAGGCGACATCATGCAGACATCGAATTTGCGAAAACTTGCAACATTTTGGCATAACTTCCTACGTAGTAATTTTCTTGCTTGGACTATTCCAGAACTGTATCGGTTTAAACCGACTGGGGAGTGTACATTACCCAATCAGTCATCCAGGTTACACTACTCTATTTAATGGAGTATAGCGTGACTTCGTACAGTTTGCTCCATCTGTGCAAAAAGAACAGCGCGCCTTGTCGCAGTGAGATCTCGCCTATCTATTTATAACGTCAGGCTATTTCGCTGTCTCCTTTGTGAGGGGTAATTTTATATTTGGTAAATCCTGTATATTCGCGATGGCTATACGAGTTTAAAGTCCCAACTTTCTCCGCCGTTCCGGTGTTCCGCATTTAGAATCCGAAGTACTTAACGTGATTATTGACATACATACAACTTCACAAAAAAACCTCTATGGTAATCATCCCGCATGCTTCTGCCAAGGCATAAGCCTCAGAGTGAATGACTTAAGTAAATGAAAACACAAAGCAAATATTTACATAGATAGTATGGTTGTTAGAAATACAAGTTTGAGATGCTTGGCCATCTTGAAAAACTGAAATGCGTAAGCTGTATTTATGAAATGCATGCACGCA